GGAGAGGTAGGAAGGAGCAAGGCCGTGAATGGCCTTGTAGGTGAGGGTGAGGATCTTGAATTCGATCCTCTGGGGGATGGGGAGCCAGTGGAGGTGAGTGAGGGTGGGAGTGATGTGGTCCCGAAGCCTGGTGCGGGACAGTACACGAGCTGCAGAGTTCTGAATGACCTGCAGCTTGTGGAGGGAGGTGCCGGGAAGGCCGGCGAGGAGAGAGTTCCCATAGTCCAGCCTTGAGGTGATAAAGGCGTGGACCAGAGTTTCAGCAGCGTGAGGGGTGAGGTAGTGCGTAGTCTGGCGATGTTTCGGAGGTGATGGAAGGCGGTGCCAGTTGTGGCGCGGATATGAGGAAGAAAGGACAGCTCAGGCTTGAACAGAACCCCGAGGTTCCTGACTGGCTTTGAGAGGTGGAGAGTGCAGCCTTGGATGCTGATGCTGTCAGCGCCTGAGGTGCGGAGGCGCTGACGCGAGCCAATCAGGAGGGCCTCAGTTTTGCGCACATTGAGGTGAAGAAAGGTTGGAATGGATGAAAAGGCTCTTCAGCCCATCTGATTTCATCCCTCCAGAATGATCTATCCTTCTGTGCTCTCATCACAGCATCAAGCTGCTTTTTAAATGTATCCTGGCTTCAACCACCCTTCTTGGTAACAAGTTCCAGTCATTAATTTCCCTCTGAGTAAAGAAAAATGTTCTGGTATATGTCTTGAAATTACCTTTTGCAATTCTAAATATACTTAGGGTTAGGGTTATTATTGGTTATTATTGGTCTCGTGCATCCTAAAGTATTGTTCTAGGTTTACTTTTCCCATTTAACATTATATACCTCTCTGAGGTCCCCTCTCAAGACAGAAGAGCTCTGCCTAGTTTGTTCAACCATTGCTCATAGCTGATTCCTCTAAAACCGGGAATTGTCTGTACCTCTGTGTTGCCTCTAGGACTTGGGAAAACCTCCTGTATTGCTATGACCAGAATTGTATACCGTACTCTGGGTGCAATCTGACCAGATTGTATATGATATCACAGATCTAAACTCAGCTGATTTTGCAATATCACCCAGCATCTTATTTGCTTTGTTTATCGCTACTTAACACCGTTTTGACATAGTGAGTGATGAGTCTAACATCCCTTCCCCCTTGGCAAGTTCTAACCCCTCCATGGAGTACTTGCTTTTTCCAATTCTTACTTCCTATATATAATACCTTGCATTTTGTGTATCAACTGTTATTTGCCAGTTATAAGTCAATGTGGAGACCCAATCATGCTCTCTTTTTCGTGTCTTTGCTGCCTCCTCTGATTCTGCAGTTCCCCCAAACTGGCGACATCTGAAAAATTAACTATCTTATACTGGGTCTGCGAGTCCAGATCATTAATAATAATAATCCTTGCATTTGATATAGCACCTTATCACATCTTTGAAGCATCTCAAAGCGCTTCACAGAATATACCATATGTATATGTGGGGGAAAATATATAAAATGAACAGGAAGAATCCCAGTACACCACTCTGTTTTATCACTGAATTTGGGACGCTATCCCACCTCAAAAGCGCTATATAAGTGCAAGTTGTTGTTGTTGAATTGAACATAGCAACCTAGCATGTTAATTATGTTCACGGCATGGATACATGGCAGTGTGCATTTTAAATTGACTTATAAAGATTGCAGATTGAACAATATATCTGCTTGAAACCAAACTCTATTATATTGGAATAACGTGATATAGCAAAGTTCACTCTTTATCCAAATACTTCAAGGTCTGGAGAGCAGAATCGGTTGCAGATATTCTTTTTTGAAAAAAAATCTATGAAGAGCCAAGTTGCACGTAGGTTGTTTTGAATATCTTGGAACTATTTTTAGGTTTGCAAAGTTCATGTCCCTCCGCTCAGCAGGCTCGGTGCTGCTCCATATCCCCCGACCTGCCTGCCCCACCATCAGCATTCAGGCCTTCAGCCCCACATGGTTTGAAATTCCACCCCAGTCCCTTTGTCTCATCCCCTCTCTTGTCGCCTTCAAGGCATATCTCAAGACCCTCCTCTTCGACCACATCTTAGGTCACCCTCGTACTCCTACCCTCCCTAACCTCCACCCTCCTAATCCCAGCCCCCAGCTCGGGTGCAAATCCTTGACTATCCAGAGTCTTGGGACGTCCTCCTGACGTGATAGGCAATACTCAAATGTAATTTTTTGTTGCTGTTGTTCTTGTAAGCAAAAAATAATTCAGATTATATTTTAGTGATTGAACTTTACTAGCTTTAACAAATATTTCTATATATATATGTGTGATACCTCCCACAGTTGAATAGCCAACTTGCACCCACTCTCAATGCTTCAATGTGAATAATGAATTGCAACTTGGCATTAGAGAATGACTATGGAGCAGTAGCTGTGAATGGAAAAAGGAGTCCAATTTTTTTGAAGAGGAGAACAGATTTGGGAAACAAAATACCTAAAACCTTTAAAAAAAGGTTTTAACAAGAATGTACCTGGATTTAAAGAACTAATCAAACAATACCTTGATCATACCAGAGCTGACCCATCACCGTTCTTTTAGAGCTTAGTATAGGTCCTTGCTGAGAAAATATCTTGTGATGATTTGCTAACTCCCCCCCCCCCCCCAAAATATAAACTTGTACGAGTTTATGAGCATGATAAAATGGTCGTTACCGGAATCTTGTCCAATTACAATACCAGTGGGACTCTTGAATTTCAGTTAGGTGTGTGGTCTGGAAGTGTTTCTATTTTTAAATGCACCTAGTTACTTTCCAACAAATTTGGGGAAAAAATATGGCTCTTTAAATTTGAAATATGTTTTTGCTCCTTAAAGTACAGTTATGCAAATATGCAAATAAACAGATATAGAAAAATATCCCTGAATTTATTTCCTGGACCTACACTGAAGAGTTGTAACTGGTGTTAAAACTGAGGATCTGTTTGTTACTGAAGTGGGTGAACTTTGCGTTTTGTTTGACCCTCAACTGTCCTTTCTACCCCACATCCGTGCCATGACCCGCTCTGCTTTCCCCCATCTCCGCAACATCGCCCGGCTCCACCACTGCCACTCCCCTCAGGCTGCCGAGACCCTCATCAACGCATTTATCACATCTAGGCTCGACTATGCCAACTCCCCTGCTTGTTGGCCTTCCCAACTCTTCCCTCCAGAAACTGCAGATCATCCAGAACTCTGCAGCTCATGTTCTCTCCCTCACCAGGCTCCGTGACCCTATCACCCCCCCTTACCCGGCTTCACTCCCCATTCCCCAGAGGATAAAGTTCAAAATACTTGTCCTCGCATTCAAGCCGTCCATGTCCTTCCTACCTCTGTGACTTGCTGACCCCACATCAACTCCCTCCACTCAGCAGGCTTTGGCCTGCTCCACATCCCCTGCCTGGCCTTCAGCCTATCTGCCCCCACCCTTTGGAACTCCATCCCACAATCCCTTCACCTTGCTAACTCCCTTGCCTCCTTCAAGGTACGTCTCAAGACCCTCCTCTTTGACCGTGCCGTTGGCCACCGTCCTACCCCTACCCTCCCTGCCCTCCACTCATCCTGATCCCAACTTCCTGCTCAGCTCCAAATCCCTGACTGTCCAGCGCCTTGAGACGTCCTCCCGAAAAGCACTATACAAATGTACTTTGTTGTTTTTGTTGTGATTGAAGCTGGAAGAAAATGCCTGGTTCTATTACACAGTTGATGTCTTCTGTAACCAATCTGAAGTCTTTTACAAGAATATGAGACTCGTTTAATAAATGTTTGTTCTTGCGATTGCAAACTCAGTTCTGCATGAGATTAGCTTTGTAACTGGCTATAACTGCATAGGCTAAACAGAGCAGTCCTACTGGAATGTCTGATTATGACTACCCCAAATTACCCTGGATAATTAGTCCCACAGTGAAAGCTCTGCGCTGGCCTCACTGTTCTAAACTTATTCTCTTGATTTTATTGCTGTCGTCTTTGTGACTGGGAGGAAACGCCGAGCCTCGTTCTCTCTCGGCTGAGATTGGGAACTTCCTCCATAAGCTATTGTCATTCCTCCAGAGCACCCACCCTCTCGTTCTCCTGTCACAGCATTGTGCTGCGCCTTAAATGAGTCCAGAGTCCTAGCCCCAACCACTGACTAACCTGTTGCAGTCGTTAATTACCCTCTTAGCCTATGGACTGTAGCCCAGGTATGGTTACTGACTGTACGAAGATGAGGATTGAAAAGAAAGGCCTAACATTTTAGACTGTAGAAGTAGAACTGTTGTGAGTGGGATGTTGAGACTTTCAGGATTCCCCGGTGACTCTGCTTCATCTGAAAATGATTAATCAATCCCAGCGAGGTCACCAGTTTAATTTTTGGCCTATGCCAAGTTACCAGACCTCAATTGAAGTAATGATATGAGCACTAGATCGAGCTTTGTGGATCTGTTTGGGGGGGGAGGGGGCAATCGATCATAGTTTCCCCTCCTAATCACAATCCAGTGACCTCTGCTGGAAAGGGAGTGCATGTTGACATCGAGTGGGGATAAAATACTCTTTGACTGAATACTTTCCCTTCCTCTTTCTTGAAACATAATTTTCCTGAAACACTCATCATTTCAACGTTCACTTTGATGGGTATAATTTGCTTTAAATGGGACTGAACCTCTTCATCTGATTCACCCATTTGGCTGTTTTATCACTGCATGAACATGTTTTGCTCACGTGGGTCCACTTTTATCACCCAAAGTAACACCAGCAAACAATGGCAATAATCTAGGAAGTAAGCATCTAACGAGTAAAAATTCACTTTGCTTTTTCATAAAGTGACCTGGAGCATTGCAGTACAAAGGCAAGGCTGAACGTCAGTCGTCATCATATTTTGTAATGCATGCTTTCGCCAGTAGATGGAACCCACTTTACCAGCACTGTGGGCAGATTGTATTAACCATAAATCACACAGTTCAAGTATGATGGAACCCCAGTACTGGGGCACGCTGCCAGTTAATTGCAGAATACATCCTTGTTCTTTGCCTGACCTGCAGAGTGACATCACCGCCTCTCTTCCTGTTGCACTGTAGCTGCCTGACCCACAGGCTTGACACAAGCCAGATGGCTTCGATTGGTAGGCACACAGGCTGCCTGGTACAGCATTTGATGATACAGAATAGGAAGACCTTTTATGATCAGCTGCGGGGACTGAGTAAGGCTACAGCTCTTCTAGGTAATTACATATCACTGAGCACTTTCATTTTCACCGCAGGATCTCCGAAAGTCATTAGAACTGTTTTATTTTGTGGCTGTACTTTTACTTAACTTTTATTTCCATTAATTGAACTTTGTGTTCATTTGCAATACATAATCTCCTCCATGGCACAATGTGTCTTCAGTGCCGTTCTTTTTTGCAGCAGTCATTTTTGAAGTTGACATGTTTACTTTAATGATTCTTCGGGGCTGTTCAATGTGACACTCGTGACAATTTTCTGTTTCCTCTTTTTCTCCTTGTAAAACTAGGACAACAATGCTTTGGATTTGTAGTTAGTCAGCTTTGAGGTGTCAGAGTTAAGGCACGTCAGCACAAGCAAGTTTGTTTGAGACACTTCAGAGCAACTCCAGACTATGTTTGTCTTTGTAAATAATTGTTTTTTTTTGCTCTTTAGAAGATAGTGGGACTCCAGACTTGCCCTTGCTCTCTGTGAAAACACAAGAGGCAAAGTTGCTTTGAAGATTCATTCGTCCAGTGAATGCACATGTTCAGTATTACCACTTGTTTTTATCTGCTGACTCCAAAGTCAAAGTCATGCGTAAATAATAGACATTGATTTTTTCAGTTGTAAATGCCTAACTGGCATCACCACGAAGAATCCAAGGCTGCAGACGTTTTCTGTGGCTTTGAATTTGTTTATATCATTGAAAAAACAGTAGATTTTTAGAGTATTGACCGAAATAATTGTAATAACATGCATGCCGTCATTATGTTTATGATGTTTATTTTAATGTAACTTTTTCTTTGTTTCTCTACTTAGCGGTTGTTCCCTGCTTCTTGCCTCTTATTTCTTGGTGGAAGTTCCCCAGTGATGTCTGCATTCAACCTGCTACATTTGGTGACAAAGAGACAGCCAGTAGCCCTGCGTGCTTGTGGGCTTCCCTCAGGTTGAATGGGTGCTGCATGCTGTGTGTCCTGCAAGCTTTGAGTGTTGTAAGCAAAACAAAGAGGGTGACTCTGCTGTGGAAAACTACAGATTGTCTGAGTGATGCTAAGCCTAGTCTTAGTTTACCAGAATTTGTCTTTGAAGCCGGAAGTTAGTGATAAATCATTGCTTTGAGTGTACACATTTTCCCATTTTAAAAAGCCGAAGTAACATTTATCAACTTCCCTTGTCTATATATAAACTTTTCATACTCTTGATGGTATCTTCCTGTTCTGAAACACAGGCACAGCCCTGCATTCGGTAGAAAAAAAATACTGTTTTCATCTTAGCAACTTGAGATGCTGTTCTGTGTCTTGACAGCATCTTGACAGTGTTATTATTTTCAGCTTGAGAAGCGCTGAAAGATATTTGATTTCACACAAAATTTTCAGAGAGCTATAATAGTATTTTACTTTGTATAATTATAGGATCTTTCAGCACAGATGGAGGCCATTCGACCCATCGTGCCTGTGCCAGCTATCTGTACAAGACGTCCTTTCAATCTTAGTCCTCTGTCTTTATACATTTTTTCAAATACATGATCTGAAAGATTTAAAATATAGTTTCATAGTTCCAAATCTTTGGGAATTTACCGATGCACTATTCGAAAAGAGAAGGGAGTTTGCCCACAAATAAAACACGTAGTCACTACCCATTATAGTATATCCCGTGAAGCACTTTTGATTTCAAAGGCTATAAACTATGCCAAATTTTGTCTATACCAAATTCTAAGGATTACTATTATTTAGATGCTCATTTCTCTCCTGGCAAATCACATTGTCAGGAGAGAAATGAGCATCTAAATAATAATAGAGTACTGGAAGACCACTTTGTTTTGTGGACAATAGTGCAGTTTAATTCCACAAATGTGATGTTTATACCAGTGAAAATAAAACTTTCAATTGCTCAATTGTATAATACCAATCACACAGATAATTATTACTATTTTGAAATCTTGATGACTAATTATTTGAAGTTCATGCCCACACTGTACAATTTAAAGCTGGGAGGTTTATTGGCATCCATGCAACCACAGACAATGACAATACATAGATTGCCTGTTCAATCTGTTCTTTGTTCAGTAGATGTTCATATGACGAACATTACATTAAATTAATTTTAGTTTCACATTCGTTTTAATTTTGTTATCATTTGCATTCATTGAAAATGACCTGAGCTTCCAATTTAGCAAATATGAACTACTATACATCAGTATATGCCAGGACTGAATAATTTTTTTTATTGTTGGTAGAAAATCCCTCGTCTTAATTTTGCACGGAAGTTTTTGTTTGGCTGAAATGCAGATTTAGATAATCCAGTAGGTGGTGTCTGTGAGTGACTTAGATGACAACATATATCTAAGCACATTTAAATAGTCAGAGTGATTTTAGAATAGTGTGATATTACATAATAAGTAAAGTGAGCAACTGATTGAAAACTGCTGAAGAGTGTAATGCTTAAAATTCTAATTAAAGCATGAGTTTAGTTTTGAAATGCATCAACAGAGTTAATGACTGCATACTTTTCTCTGTTTCAGTTGTAAACATTGACTGGGAGGCAGTCACTGCTAACGACATCATGAACTGTTGGTGCAAGAAGTTATGAATGGTTGATAAAATCATGAGAAGGCAAAGATTGAATTATAAATTTAAAGTGCACTCTTGGCTGCCTTGATTTGATATGGTCTTCCTTTTCCATTCAAGTGTTGCTGAATGAGTTTGTAGCTTTCACCACCATCGTCAGATTCAATCGGACTTGTGGTGGTGCCAAGTTATGTTGTTCAGGGTCGCATCACGTGCTGGGGAGGTGAATGAGCATTGTAACTAAAATACTTTGGCGCAAAACTCAAGCCCGTTGCCAGGAATATTTCATAAGAAAAAGATTTATAGTGTGCTAGCAGAATTTTCAATATCCTCTCAATGATATAGAAGGATTAAGCCTCCTTCAATTTTATTTTGAGAAGTCCAGCTACGGTACTGCAACATTCGTACATAGAATTATAGTTAAGAATCCTTCATTCAGAACAAGAAGAACCACAAATGTCCACAAAAAATCTTTGTCAATGTAAAATACTGACCATGGTTTGGTGAGGAGGGGGTGGGAGAGAAGGAAGGCATTGCTATTGTGAAATGCAATCCTCAAAAAAGAATTAAATGAAGGGATGTGATCATTGTTACTGTAGTTTTTTCTACAGCAGATGCCCTGTGTCAATGCTGCATGAATTAGTTATTATTTGTTTGTGTTTTGCACTATAATTGCTTCTTCAGCTATTTGCTTAAGTAGTTCCTGATTCATGTCTTGTTAATGAAATGTGCACCACTGCTTGAGCCACTTACTCTCCTGCATGTAACTGTTCAACAAAAGGTTAACATAATCACATAATCATTTCTTTTTTGTGGGTGGGGGGGGAAAGACTTGGAATATTGTTAACAAAATATATAAATAATGATTTGGCTTTATGAGAGCACAGACACAATTATTGCTATCAGTATTACTGGGTAAACACTGAATTGATTTTGTATTGCTGCAGCACGTAAATGAGATGTAACTAGAAATGCTGTCTTTTTTTACAAAACCCTGAGTAAAATCAATTTATCCTTCAGATTTGGACCAGGAGCTCTACCAAAATCATCTATTTTCTTGTGAACTCAGATTGTTCTAGCAATTTTAACATTGGGGCAGAAACCCAAGCCAATGGGCAAATGGTCGAATGCACAACAAAATGGTAAAGAAATGAGCTGCATGTATGTCAGCTCAGGTCCGAAACATTGATTGTCCAGGGCCTTGGGACGTCCTCCCAACATGAAAGGCGCTATGCAAATGTAATTTTGTTGCTTGTTCTTGTTGTTGTCAGTGTTTAATGACCTTTGGAAATGTTTAAAAGTGTTAGAATCGACACTGAGTGCTTTTTCAACTATTTAATCATATATAATTAAATATGTTGGTTGCATTTATAATTCTAATATAGTTTTGTTTTCAGCAAAAACGCCCTCGGTGATCGTCTATTTAATATCATTTATCTCATTCTGTACAAGAGTGCTGCTATCATTCCCCCCCCTTCCTCCCCTGATGTTTATCTCCTCCTCTCCTGAAGGCAGTTAACTCGTTTCTCCTTTCATAAATATATGGTTCCAAGGGTGCTGTTTGCTCTTTGGTGCCTCAGTCAGATTGCCATTATTCATGTGTGAGCCTTGATAGTGACTGTTAGCAGGGTATTCAATTGTGGGGGGGGCATTGTAGCCTAGCTCGATCCTATTCTCATCTGAAGTCCACACATGGGCAGCTTCCAACAGGAGTCCCTGAACAACAGTTAGATGCAGGTACCTGACCTGATTTTCGCCCTTTCTAGCCAAGGGACAGTGAGTCCAATTGCATCACTGCAATTGCTTTCCCATCATAAATCAACTAACTCGGAGCAGATCAGGATTCAAGACTCCAACTTTCAGGCATATATGGCCTAGTAATACAGTGCCTCAACCCCCTAGACAACTAGGTTTTTGATTGTTTTTTTATATAAGTAGAAAAAAAACAGTCCTTTTTTACCCACACAACTACCCGCACATTTTAAATTAGGTTTATACTTGTCTGAACCTGAAGTGTGTTGCCTGGTAACAAACAAGTCAGAAAATCTTTCCAGATAGCTTCAGGAACCAACTATTGTTTTTGAGATTTTGATCACTTGTGTTGCAAATAGCCATTTGACACAGAAGATCAGGTACCAGAAAGTTGCACCCACAAAGGGAAAGTGAGTTCAGATCCCAAGATGTAGTTACAAATCATTGTGGAAACATGTAAGATAATTCTAGGTATTTGCTCACTTTATTTTACTAAGGATGTGATCAACAATATCTTTCAAACAAATATTTGAATGTTTAACACTCTCCATCAGAAATACAGTAACTTTGTATTTTGGTAGCAATACTGGGAAAACATCAGTGTTTTCATTTTTATGTTTAAGTGTTAACTAAACCTCTGTTAATCTTAACCGATTAAGTTACCCTTCCACTTTTTCCCTTACAACAAGGTTCGATTG